GGCACTTAAAAGAATGAATGAGTAACCACTGTTTGTTGTACTAGGATTTGCTCTGTATTACAGAATGAAACTTAGTACTTTTTCCCATTTTCCTATGTGGTTACGTACACCAGCCTCATTTTCTTTCATTCACACCACAAAGACTAGCAGAGCTTCTGAAAATGAGCATCATCTATTCTCTGTATGTGTCCAAGTGTGAATTCTCCTGCACATCGCATGGCTTGGTGTACTGAGTGGCACTTACTTGGTCTTTCTATGAAGAGCATCTCATGACATGAGGATAGTAGACAGTGCACTGTTCACTACACAGAGCATGAGTGATGGTACACACATTCAGGGTCTGGGAGGGGTGGAGAAATAGCAGTGGCAAAGGTATCCAGAATCAGATGGACTCCAATTTCCTTTGCTTTCATGATTTCTGCTTATATTCTTGTGGTCACACATATAAGCAGGAGAGGAGGTGGAAAGCTAAGATCTCCTTAAGAGGAGGAGTGTATAGCTTCTCATTGCAAGTTAAGAACAGGGATTTCTCAGTTTTATTGTGATTGATGAAACTCTTTAGCACTGGCAAGAACAGAGTTGAGAAAATGCGCAACAAATTGAGGATGGGATATAATTCAGAGGAAATGCAGAGTGAAGCCTTCAAAGGGCCTCTGTTTCTCTCTATCAGACAGCCTTGGTTTTGTGTCTGGCCAGGCTATGCAGAGAGATCATCCAGAAAGGTTCGCCTGGGTCCCATGGCTTTTGCCTAATCTACATCTCACAGATTTCAGCTATTTAATCATAATTCTGTTAGGAAATCTGAAACCCATTGTTTAATACTCTTTGGCTAAGACTAACTTTTGATGAGGTACCCATGTAATCACGTACACACACATTTTTTTTTTTTGAGGAAGAGAAGCTATGAATAGTTATATTTCAATAACATCTTTGACTATTTGTCTTTTTTGGATTTAACCAGTTGTTTCGAAAATAATTTACTTCCTGACTTAATTTTCCCCCAAACCAATTTATATATACAGATATAACAACTCAAGGCTAAATTCAATAGTAAAGGCTATTTAATACTATAAATACTATAAAAAACTATTTTCAACTCACAATTATCAACCATCTAGACTCTGATAGATTCTGCAGATGATAGATGATATTTCTTTTTTTCACTTTTAAATATTTTTATTTTTAAATTACAGTTGACATACATTATTATATTAGTTTCAGATGTATATCCCAGTGATTAGGCATTATATAACTTACTAAGTGATAAATCTCATACCTATCTGATAACATACATAATTATTAGAATATTATGAACTATATTCCCTATGCATACTTTCCATCCCTTGACTATTCTGTAATAACCAATTTGTGCTTCTTAATCCCTTCAACTTTTTCACCCATCCCTGCAATGCCCCTCCCATCTGGCAACCTTCAAAATGTTCTCTGTATCTATGAGTCTGTTTTTGTCTTGCCTGTTTGTTTATTTTGTTTTTGTTTTTTTGGATTCAATTGTTGATAGATATGTATTTATAGCCATTTTATTATTCATATTTGTTGCTGTTGTTGTTGTTGTTGTTGTTGTTGTTGTTCTTCTTCTTCTTCTTCTTCTTCTTCTTCTTCTTCTTCTTCTTCTTCTCCTTCTCCTCCTCCTCCTCCTCCTCCTCCTCCTCCTCCTCCTCCTCCTCCTCCTCCTTCTTCTTCTCCTTTCTTCTTCCAGAAGACCCTTTCATATTTCATGTAATACTGGTTTGGGGGGGATGAACTCCTTTAGCTTTTTCTTGTCTGGGAAACTCTTTATCTGGGAAACTCTTTATCTGTCCTTTGGTTCTAAATGATAGCTTTGGTGGGTAGAGTAATCTTCGTTGTAAGTCTTTGCTTTTCATCACTTTGAATATTTCTTATTAATCCCTTCTGGCCTGCAAAGTTTCTGTTGAGAAATCAACTGACAGTCTTATGAGAGCTTTTTTGTAGGTAACTAACTGCTTTTCTCTTGGTGCTTTTAAGATTCTCTTTGTCTTTAACCTTTGTCATTTTTATTATGATGTGTCTTGGTGTGAGCCTCTTTGGGTTCACCTTATTTGGGACTCTCTGTACTTCCTGGACTTATATGTCTATTTTCTTCATCAGGTTAGGGAAGTTTTCTGTCATTATTTCAAATAGGTTTTCAATTTCTTGCTCTCTGTCTTCTCCTTCCACACGTACATGATGCAAATGCTTGAAGTTGTCCCAGAGGCTCTTTATACTATACTCATTTTAAAAAAATTCTTTTTTCTTTCTGGTTGGGTATATTTTGCCTCCTTATATTCCAAATCACTGATTTGATTCTTGGTTTCATCCATCTACTGTTGATTCTCTGTAAATTATTATTTTTGAAATATTTATTGTTGAAAGTATTACATATATCCCCCTCCTCTTCCCCCATTGACCTCTTGTAGCCTGCCCCACCCACTGTCCCAGGCCTTCATCACCCTATTGTCTGTGTCCATGAGTTATGCATTAGACATACAAGTTCTTTGGTTGATCTCTTCCCACCCACCCACTTACCCCCACCATCTGTAAAATAGTCTTTATTTCTGTTATTGTAGCCTTTACTTCTGACTGTTTTTTTATAGTGTTGAGGTTCTCACTAAGTTCATTGAGTATCCTTATAACCAGTATCTTGAACTTTGCATGTAGTAGATTGCTTAACTCCATTTTCTTTAATTCTTTGTCTGGAGTTTTGTTCTGTTCTTTCATTTGGAACATGTTTCTTTGTCTCCTCATTTTGGCAGCCTCCTTATGTTCATTTCCTTTGGGTAGGGTGCTATGTCTCACAGGGTTGGTAGAGTGGCCTAATGTAGTAGGTGTTCTGTAGCATCTAGTAGCATAGTCTCCCCGATCACCCAAGCTGGGCACTCAAGGCGCACCCCACATGTGGACTGTGTATACCCTCCTTTTGTAGTTGAACCTTGATTGCTGTTGGCACATCAATGATAGGGATTTACCCTCAGGCAGATCATCTGTGACCACCAACCTCAGACCTCCAACCACTGTGGAGGATCAGCTGTGCAGGGTCCCACCCCACAGAGCAGGACTTACTTCAGCGTAGCTCTGGTGCCTGAGTCCACCCCTTGAGTGTGTCACTTATGGAGATGATTTGATGTGATCTGAAGCTGTCCACTGGGTGTGCTGGCTCTGGGTCCTCCTGTGAGGTACAGGACAAGGTGAATCATGATCTGTTTCTCCCCGAGACCACCTGGCATGAGCTACAAAGCAATCTGTAGATGGCTGCTACTTGTGCTGGACTTGGAGGTGCCAGGAGAGGCTAAGCTGTGAACCAAGGCTGGCTGTAGCTAGTGCCAGGCCTGGGTCCACTCAGCGAGAGGTATGAGGCACACTGAGACCAGATGCTGCTTGCTTGAGAGATTTTAGGAAAATCTTGCAGATGATATTGCTATAAGTCCATTTGGCCAGCAAAGGCGATCTTAATTTTTATCAGAATTTAATTATGAGAGTATCAATAATTAGAACTTAATTTTTAACAAACTAAGTATATGAGAAAGGGCAAAACTAATTACTTGGCATGGATTCTTAGCACTTAGAACAAGCTGCAATATGAGAAAATTAGAGATTTATTAAAAGGATGGGTGTGATTGTCCTGTGACACTTGGAAAACTTTGGATAGCATTTAGGATCATGGGAAAACACATGGTACACTATCACATGGTATGATGGACCTAACAGGCTGACAACACACCACACCAGAGAGTCGCTGGACAGTCAGATCTGACTCCCTGGGCCACCATGGCCACATCTCTGCTGTGTCCCCCTTTGACAGACAGGGATGTGTTTCTGAGTGTTATTAGTCTATCTTTCTCTTTACTACTCTTCTCAATGCTATTTGCTCTTTTCTAACAATTACTTTGAGGCCAATCTATTGTTTGAAGGGTTATGAGCCTTAAACTATATCTAGAAACCTTAATTACAAAATGTGGCTTCTGAGAACTGTGATAAAAAAATGAATCTTCAACTATTACTTCAGTATCAGGATATCCTGTTAAGCATTAAAAATATTATTCAAAATTAATCAAAAGGCAATTCTGAAAAAAAAAACCCACAAAAAAACACCACAGAAAAACACAGAAAAGCAGGTTAAGTTTAATAGGGAAGTAAGCATCCCAAACCATTTCCATGAGCACAAATGTCAAAACCTGTCTTTGCTCTTTTACACCTCCAGGTGGTGCTGTTTACTTAGACATGGGAAGCAGGCACCCACCCTCATTTCCTTGCCTTAGGTTCATGGCTGGGCTTTCAAAATAATTTCCATTTCTACAGATGTGTTCTTTTAAATGGTCAATAAATTTTTATAACCACTCTTTTAAAAATTGCAAGATTATTGTGATTTGTGCTGTCTGGGACACACCCAGAGCAGATGTTTACATTTGTTCATTGGTCCCTCCTTTTCTACTCTTCCTTGTTTCTCAGAACTCAGACTCAGTCACAGACATTCGGGCTGTCATTAGAACTCATCCAAGCCCCTTAAAACACCTATGTGACTTAAAAATAGATTTCTAATTCAGTTAAGTTAACTCAACTCTATAGGCTTCTGAGTAAAGAATACCATCTTCACGGAAATGTTTTTATCCCCCAAAGCCCATGAGTGTTCCTAGCAGACGTGACTTATTTTTTGATGAGGGGGCTTGTCGGACACCAGAAATGTTTTGATAATTTTAGCTCATCTTTACAATGACATCCTGGAGACCAATCCAAATTTCTCAGAAAAGTTTTCCTAGGAAAAAACTGAGAGGGAGCAAGGGATACCTTCTTTCCATTTTGGTAGATTTTAGTGGTAGGAATACTGGGAAATCTGTTCTACAGTGTGGAACTAGGATGGGAATGCAGTGTTATCAATTTTACCATCAGTAAGGTTTGGAATATTTAAGATTGGCTTTAAAAAATAGCGAACTAATGCTTTTCTTGTTCTTTCCTTTTTTCTTTCTTTTTTTCTCTTTTGTGACAAGGGGTTTGTAGACAAGCTGGATGAATTCATTCAGTGGTTAAATGAAGCCATGGAAACCACTGAGAATTGGACACCCCCTAAAGCAGAGACGGATAGCCTTAAACTGTACCTGGAGACACACCTGGTAGGCAAGATGGTGTTGCTTTTGCTGCTAGTCATGAAAGGATTTTGAGGCACTGCTTGTTTGTTTATGGAGGATATCAGTTTTATTTATCAGAAGTCATTATATGCTAATGAAACCAAGTTTTAATGGGGTAAACTGCAGCAACTGAAAATTTATAGGCATTTCAAATAAACCTATAAAATCTAAACCCTCCATATTTCAAGCTATTTTAAAAAAACATTTTCCAGAAAGATAAGTAATTACTTTAAAAATACCTTGGAAAATTTTAATAGGCCCTCACTCTCTAAAACAATGATTGAAGGTTTTCCCCTTCTTAAAAAAACATAAATGAAAGAGATAATTTTGATGACCATTCTAAGCTTTCTAGAATTCTTTTAAAATTAATGAACCTCTCATTATCAAGAGGGTCTACTTTATCTGTTCTACACTGGGTTATTTTAATAAAATATTTAAAACGATGATCTCCATCATTTTTGCTGCTATGTGGGTTTTCAGCATATAATTAATACAACTGTCATTACACTCGTCCCTGTGCAGAGGGAAAAGCATGGAGGGGAAGTGGGAAACACTTGGATGAATATGCTTCTGAATATGTTAGGAGCAAGAATTATAGACTGGGGGACATTTGATGAACCTCATGAGGTTTTTACTGAATGCTTCAAATGGCCGATATCAATTATGAAGGGGTGGATACCAAGTAGTGGAGTGTGATAAAGCATGAAGAAAAAGCACGTTGTCATAGGAAATGAAAATTCAAGCTTTAAGGATCTCATCTTTATTCCTTTCACCGATAGCATAAAATTGACAAAGGCAATGAACACAAATCCTTGGGTACCCAACTGTGGGGTAGATTTTCTGCCCCTCTTACACACGCAGAATATGGATTGAATAAGCATTGTGTGAGAGTCCTATATGTGTGACAGGTCGCAGGGTTTCAGGACTGCTCCCTGTGTTAGTGAGAGAATGAGAAAGAGGGAGAAGAAGACAGTGATATATATATATATATATATATATATATATATATATATATATATATATATATATATAGAGAGAGAGAGAGAGAGAGAGAGAGAATGCTTTAGGTTTTTGGTGCTTGCATTTTGTAGTGTTTTATATCATTGCAAGAAAAACAGTCTCAAAATCCTATTGCTGCATGCAAACAGTATTGTGGATGATAAAGAAAGACAAGACTGTGTGACAGAGGTTGAGTGTATTGTTTCCCTTTTTAGAGACCTGGGTTGATGGCATGTAAAATGCCAGTAACCTGTCCATCAGTAGATGAGTGGCTAACACAGCCATGGTACATTTATACAATGAAATACTACTTGTCCATAAAAAGGAAGAAACTTTTACCCTTTGCGACAGCATGGATGGACCTGGAGATTATTATGCTCAGTGAAATAAGCCAGTCAGAGAAAGACAAGTACCATATGATTTCACTCATGTGGAATTTAATGAACAAACTGAACTAACAAGCTAAATAGAGACAGACTCATAGATAGAGAGCAGGCAGACAGCGCTGGTGGGGGAGGGGACGTTGAGGTGTGTGGAGGGATTGAGCAAAAAAGAAAAAAAAAAAAGAAAAAAATGCCAGTAACCTTAAACACCCCTCTTGTACATGGATTTTAAAATACTGCCCTTAGTACTCAATTCCCTGTTGAGTTGAGCATTGATTTTTTTTAAAGAGGGCATTTCATAATAGCAAGATAAAGATATTCAGTGCTTTATAATGTAAATTATATTAATTAGAATGTCAACTTTTCACTGGCATTGTTCTGACAGAAATTCTAATCTGTGTTTAAACAGGAGTATATGAACTTTATTTCACATTAAGTGTGCTGTCTTAATTTCTCTTGACTTAATATTTTATGGGAAACACAGGTTTAGTTTTTGAGGTCCCAGAGGGCATGGGGACTTAAAGAGTGCCTCAACTCTTTTCATTGAAAGCCAGGTTAAGAGGGTGGGAACCAAGCTCTCCCTTCTCTTTGGGAATTGAGTGACATGGCCTTTTTATAACCAATGTTCTGTTCTCAAGTCTGTATTACAAATTTCTATTCCTTACTTGGCATCCCTGTGTTGGCCTCTGTTTCATTCTAGCCCAACACTATCCCCTAGAACTTTCTGCAGTGATGGGTATTTTATATTGCATTGTTCAATATGGGAGCCACTACCCACATTTATCTCCTGAGCACATGAAATGTGGCTACAGCAACTGGGGAAATGAATTTTTAATTCTAATTAACTTACATTTAAATTTCTACACGTGGCTTATAACTACCGTATTCTAGTCCTATAAATAGCAGCACTCTTTACAGCTGCCCATAATGGCTTGCAGACATTCTTCCTGGCCTCATAGTGATATTCTCATCCAAAATATGGAAACCATTATCCTCTGTGCTCTGGATCTCTCCATTAGATTCACAGCAAAGAGTCCTTCTTAAACTATCTGTCTCTTAAAGAATAAACTTGTTTCTGCCTTAAGATCAACACTTTCTTGAACCAGTTTTCTCCATGGTCATGTCTGATTGTACTGGTTTGACTATAGACAACATAGAAACAGCTGCTCTATCTCCACTGTGCAAATAGTGAGGGCGTACGGTGTCCAGGTCTGTGCACCACGGTTGGCCATAGTCTCGAATTTCACTTCTGAAATTATGAATGATGCTAACAGTTACTGAAGACCTAGTGGGCGTGGATTGCTACTGAGCAATACTTAAGAACAATGACTGAGTCACTGTTATACTGCATGCTGTGTCTGTTACTTGAGATACAGCCTGTGGTTTAAACATCTTTAGACTCCGAGTTACTCTGTGTCCCTACATTGTCTTCTGATTAATATTGTCATTTATATTTTTTATTGTATTTCCTTACTATGTTGCTGAGTTAATATCAAGTTATTCCTCTCAAAGGAAGACAAAAAGAGTACCTACATTACCATAAAGTATGTATAGAACTAAGCCTACATATTTATATTCCTTACTTCACCCTGCATAAGTCATTACTGCTCCTTAATGAGTGGGCAAGGGGTATTTGCAAGAGTATTCAGCATTCACAGATAGCTACATGAGTTTCTTTCAACATCTCTATAGATTCTATAATTTACATTAACCCAAAACATGTACCAGCCCCTGAGTTCAGCATTTTCTTCGGCTTAGTAATGTGTTAGAATAGTTGGCACCCTGCAATGTTCATTATAAAGAAAAATAAAAACAATACCAAAGTTGTACATTTATATTTTGATACTTAATTCAGTTATTTTCCATGACAGTAACCAAGGGTTTTTACCAATACAAATCAATTAAAGCTTCACAATACCTGTATGAGAGATGTGAAGGAGCTTTATTTTAACTGTAAGAAGTACTGTGAAATTGTGATGATACATCAATGATTTTCCATGATAATTAATCATCTGCCTGCAACCTGGCTGCTCCTTTCCAAAATACAATTCCTATCTTCCTAGAAAATGACATTTTCAGGAAAATGTCATTCTAGAAAGGTATTTTGTGAGTATTGAACTTATTGAACATTCCTCTTCTTTGAAAACCACTTTTCAAATAGCATTGTGTATATATGTTCTTATGGACTCCCTTCTTCCTCACCCTGTCCACATTTTAAAAATAGCTATATTAAGGTATAATTTAAAGTATACCATTTTACATATTCCCACAAACTGACAAATGTATAGTCCCACAAAACCATCACCACAATCAAGACCATGAACATGTCCATCACCTCCAAAAACTTCCCATGATCCTTTGAAATTCTTCCCTCCCTTCCTGCTGGCCTTTCTCCCATCCCTGAGCAATCAGATCTGCTTTCTGTTACTATTATATTCGTTTGTACTTTCTAGGACTTTACACAAATGGAACCAAACAATATGTACTCTCTATTTTTAGTGGGGGGGAGGTTTGGGGGAGTCTGGTTTCTTTCACCCAGCACACTTATTGCATGTTTTAATTCATTCATTTTTATTGCTGAGTAATATTCCATTGCATAGGTATACCACAATATGTTTATCCACTTATCTGTTGATAGAAATTTTAATTGTTTCCCTCACACTTGTTTTTATTGGCTAAAGAGGCAAACGTCAGCAAGAACTGAATTTGAGTAGAAGCATCATAAGTAGTTCTTGGCAGACTATTTAGATATTATTTCCCTTTAAGAGGATTTATAGTCTTCAGAGTTAGAGGACTTAAGAGCTTGTTTGGAGGTTCTAGCAGGGGAGTGCAGCTACTCATATACCCTTGACCAAAGACCGGTCTTCTCTTCTGGGGGGAAGGTCGTCTTCTTCAATCAGGGCACAGCTTTGGGAGGGGCGCACATGGCACATGGATCGGTGAGGGAGGAGGGGGACACCTGCCTACCCAGCCAGATCAGCTGAATCAACCCTGGTGATCAATGGGGTGATGTCACATCCAGATCGCCCTCACATCCCAGCAGAGCAGGACAGCAACTTCTCCCAGTTGAGATTTCAGTTCATGTCCCTTTGCTCCTGAGAAGATAACTCTGATTTTCCAAATAGTTCTACGTATGTTCAATCCACCAAATGGGCACCACATCATATGAAATCAATTGTAGGAAATCAAACCAAAAGGGTTTTCTTAAATCTATAGCTAATGAAAGTATCTGGTAGGAGAAACCAAAGCCAAATGGACACCAGAGAGCTATGCAAGGATTAGGAAAAGGAACCAACCACAGTGCTGGGCTTAAATTTGGGAGATAAATCTGCATAGGTCATGTTGGGCAACCATTAACCAAACACATAGAAATAGCCTTGGTAAAACAACATTCTTAATTCAATTTGATAAATGAGAGAATGTGGGGGAAATGGTGACAATGAGTTCATGTATATTAAGCACCCATGAGTTATTTCGGTGCCAGGAATACATGATGAATGAGTTAGGTTTCTAGCTTCCAAGGATTTCCGATCTAGGAAAGATGACCATAAATTAAATGTATTTATCTATAGACACATAAATGATTAATGTAATGCAATTTTG